ATTGCTCCAAAAGAGTACTTATCTGCATCTCGATACAGTTCAAATTGTTGAGCTTAATTCCATTTCGAGCGAAAGTGTTTGGTGAAGAGATTCGAAGGTCGATTCCACCAGAAGACGATGGCGGATTTCTTTTCACCAGCTGTCGATTGGTTTTACTGGAATATTCATGTTAATGCTGTCTCCGAGATAATCTCCTCAGATTCCGGTGAAAAGTAGCTAAACTTTAGTCTGTAATAAGGCGAACATCATTAGAGGAAGGTTTCATTCTTACAACCAAATTCAAGCTAACGAGCCAAGAAAACTCACCGGCAAATCCCTAAAAAGCTGTATATACTCTATATCTGGCCTCTTTGATGAGATATAAAGTGATTTCGTTGATTACAGTCATATGTCAACTTCGAAGCCTGTAAATGTATCTGTCTTGTATGTTTATGGGCCTGCATAGGCTCGCCTATGCATGAAACCAGCAGTGATGGCTGTAGATTTGTGCGGATAGGTCCTCGGTGCACCACGGCCTCCGATGGAACCAACTTACAATTCCCTTCCACTCGCTTGTTCAAACGAAATAAAAGATACTCCAGCATCACTCTATTAAAGGATTCTTCAAAACCCAGTCTTTCTACATACCGTTAATAAGTTTTCCTTACAGATTTTTGCTCTTTTTTGTATCTGTGTTCTAACAGTAAAAGCATGTATATTAGAGGAAAAAAGGACGCCAGGTTTACTTGACAACCTGAGTATCTAGGCTCCCTCAAAGAGCCACATTTTACGAGCCGGAAGAGAACAGATATCAAAGAAAATCTCAATCTTCACAGTAGGCTGGTATCAGATCCGATCCAAGAAAATAATGAGCCATAACGAAATATAGATGGCGATGCATCTTTATAGATCGGATAGTCTGATGTGAGCGAGTAAAAGGAGTTTGCTCCACGAAAAAGAAATGGTAACTCAATCTTTCCGCCACCTCGCGACATGATATCCTGCTAAGAAAGTTTCAAGGAGCGCCTCCTGAAGTAAACGTTTATTCTTTTGCTTGGAGCCTGTTTACTTTTAAGCCCGCTACTTGAATAGCTTCGAGCATGCTGGCTGCATGCATACCAAGGAAGATGGCGGTTGAAGTCCTATTTTCAGGCGTAAATTTCCGACAAAATGTAAAGCCTATTTCAGCTTGGGATTAAAGCGGTATCAAATAAGGCGCATTATTTCTGTAAGCCTATTGAAGCAAGCTCCTCAATATGCTATTTCCCGATAATCGGCATTATATGTCTGGACAGAAGCGATATTGTATTCATTTTTTTACTTTATTTACTAAAATTTCTCTTTGAGCATAATATATCTTACCTGTAAGCTAAGAGTAAATAAACCATGGTTCATGTAGAGCAATTACTCATACTTTCCAACATTTTAAATCCACTTTAGTTACCTTCCTCAGATGAAGACTTATGCTTCGGGGATAACTAAGAATCATGAAACTTTGTAAGTAGGAAAAATTGCATCTCTGTTGTATAATGACTATCGTGTCCGAATGACTTTCAACGGATCAGAGGCCTGATAGTTGAGCTTTCTACAATGAAATGAGAAGGAAGCCTCACTCATCCTTGCCTGAGATAATACATTTTAGGGAGCAAAGCTAGATGAAATTCACTGGTATTGTGGAGTCTGTTCACATCATTATATGAAAAGTCAACTAACATTCCTACATATCCTAATGCGACCTAGGGTAAATACAATTACGATAGTCTCGAAATCTACCTAATGCGAATATATATGATCCCATATACTCAGTCAAGAAATAGGATGTATAAAAATTAACGTTCGGAGGCTTAGAGTTGTACTTTATATGATTTCTGCTAGATTGCAAGGTAAACAATTCCCATATGCCTGCAATGATCCTAAATTTAAAAAAAATTTGAATTAATACATCAAAATTGTTATTTCAAAGAGTGGTTGACACTTTTGGGCAGAAAATTTTCAAGTTTCCTTTATATTTATATCAAGTGTATATATATACATATATATACATATATATATATATATATTCATTTGTTATAATCACCTCAAGCATTTACAGAACAGATAGGCAGTACACAGTGCTTCCTATCGGGGGACAGAAACTTTGCGTTTTCTCTCAATAATCAGCGACTTCACGGTCGTCCATGATATCGAAGATGTCCAAACCTGTTTGAAAATGAGGCAATTCTCTTGATGTAGCCACTTGGATCAGGCCCATGTTTTAAATAGTACATATCTGGGTCTCTTTTCATATAGTCGATCGGATCGAAGCCCCGTTTTTCGTCTGGATCCCTCTTCATATAGTCGATAGGATCGAAACCTCGTTTCTCGTCTGAATCTCTTTTCATATAGTCGATGGGATCAAAACCCCGTTTGTCATATGCATCTCTTTTCATGTAATCAATTGGGTCAAAACCACGCTTAGGATAGACGATGCCTTTACATCTCTCGCATGATGCTGAAGTGCCTTGCTTGAAAATTAGAATACAATTATTGTGATTAAAACATATGTAAGATAACCATATGAGTAGATTGACTTTAAACACTTTGTACAAATTATTACTAATTAATTATTCAACCATATACATAATATATATATAATGCAGGTTGAAGACCTAGATATTCAGTCTCAAAATTAATAAATTAGTCTAATTAGCAACTGTAGTGATAAGAAAGCATACTTTTCAATTATGAAATGATTATATATGAAATGTATATATCAAAAAGTCTCGTTGAGGTTCAGAGTTGAATAAGAATTAATACAATAGAGAGATCGATCATTCCACTGAATCCAGGCTAAGAGCTGCGTTATGAAGGTATAAGAGGTATAAACTAATTACGTATCCACTTAAGTCTATACTTAAGGTGGATAAATAAAGCAAGATTTAGCTACTTCCTATTGGCATTACCTTACTGATTAAAAAAATTAATTTGATTTTATGTTTTATCCAAGAAAGGCAAAAGAAGAAGTCACCAAAGAGGATCTAGCATGCAAGTGTAAAAATCTAAATCACTACCTAGTGGGTCGATTGAGTCTTCTGTATTATTTGAACTGAGTATTTATATGAATTTAAACGTCCATAATACCAAAGTCATGGCATTCTATACATTGAAAATTCTGTGCTAGAGCAGTCAGTCAATTTACCCGTAAAAAGTTTAACTAAAATTTATTTTGAATCTTTTTCGCCCGACGTAAAATTATCAAATAAGATTGGGATTAGGATTCATCTTTTTGCCAAGAGTATAAAGCGTATCAGTTTTCAGATATAACAAAAATACCCGTGTGAGATTGTATAGATGCCACTCACTATTATCATAATAAAAGTTTATTCCAAATTTCATAGTAATCATGCTATAAGAATTTGTGCCAGCTCCCTTACAGCTAAAAAAGTGTAATAATTGGCGAGGCTTGTATACACACAGTATTAAGATATAATGTATTAATAATCGAAGACATAAATTATTTCACTCAATTTGCCATTTAATAAGGATACTACACTTGTTATACTATGCTAATTTGCTAGCGCATCTTTTCACAAAAAGAAGAAGCTTGATCCTGTGTAAGCGATAATTCCAAAAATTCCAAAGTTGTAGGCTTTATAATATGAGAAATATGCTTTTGAAATGTTTGATGCCTGGAATCAAAAAAGCTTACTTGAAAATTTAATATTCTTTCAGTGCAATCCACCTCATGCTAATGGGTCTGATAATTGGCTCAAACACTGGATTTAAGTCATGAATTAATGTGCCCCGTAATTATCTTAAATGGCCTTCTCACTAATACTGATTAGTTTAGACTTTGTCTGCAAGTTCAGCTGAACCTAAACTCAAGTGAACTTTTGTCTATTATACGCTATGTTTCTTCTCTGATGCATGAGTTTCTTATTAGTAAGTAAGCTTATAACAATAAAAGATATTATTGCAGTTTATTATCTAGCTCATTGCATATAATCTGTTAATGCCTTACATATCATTTTGGCAAATTTCGTCAAAACGTTGGACTTCTAGCTTCTTTACTTCTTTCATTAAAATTTAGTATATATTGTATGATATTACTAGGATTTAAAACCTTCGAACTAATCCCAAAATCATATAACGCCTTTCTTAAATTACCTTAAATCCTTTATTGTATTGAACATTTTCTTGAATCGTTTTGACCACAATGCACATTCAGTTTTCTTACTTATTTACTTTCACGTGCAAGGATTTATGCACGAACTTATCTACTTCATTGTGGAATGGATTAGTCGATTCTCCCTATATTTTAATAGTTCAATAAGGCGTTTTTATAATTAAGAAAACTAGCAGGCCTTCCTGCATTTTCTACCACTATTGTAGGCATTTATTCCTGCTATAGTATAATTTGCAAATGAGTCTATAATGTTAGGATAGTTTCTTTGGTTTACCAAATAAAACTGAGTAGTAGCTTCTTCATGAGGCATCAAGCTCAAAGATCCATCTAATTACTACTTTCTAAATTCATCATGATATATCTATATATGTTAAGGTATTTTTTCAGCAAATGTAACCTATATAACCACAATTCCTGAGGGTAGACTTTTAAGTGAGAGTAAAATAACCAAGGTATAAATAAATAAATAAATTATGGGTGAAATTTAAATTGGAACGAACAGAAGAAAATATTGCTGAATTTTGGTTCCAAGTTCATACTTACCGTGCGAATGGTACATAGAAATATCGAGAAAAGGACAGCAATAATTTTAATTCGGAGCCGACCAAACATTGTTCTGGCCTGTTCTGCCTTGTTAACACCTCTAATTATCCTCTGTTCGTCTTGGTTGAGAATCTACAAACGAGTTCTGAGCCTCGAGGGCCGCATTGGCTTTTTATAGAAAAATGTGAGTAGGCGCAAGGGAGAAGTCTAGCTATGCACAATTGGGCATCTTATCCCACTCCTTCCAGTTACAGATTTCAGCTAACCTGGCATACGGGCAAGATTAGACAGACGGCCACAATAAATTCAAGAAAAGCAGCTCTAACTGAAATAACAACAGAATAAATATACTGAGAGGAAACTAAGAGGTGAATTAGGAACTTAAATGAAATATAAAAACAGATGGAGTAAGAATATTAGCTGATTGCTAAATCAGCCGGCTATTTAGCAAGATAGGAACTACAGAAAAAAAACTAAAATAATTTATAAGGGCATTAAGAATCTGTCGTAGATGATAGCCGGGCCTGAATGATGCTTTATCCAAAGATCTGAATGGCGATACATATAGGTTCATTCAGAAACAGACATATGGTTTTAAGTTGATCTTCTTATCTGATACCAGCTATATAAATGAATGTATGAAATTCGATCAGCACATGCATTAGCAAAACAAATAACTGGCAAATAAAAGTAGTTAAAGGAATAATTATCATCGCAAGATGTGAGAAATATACACTATACTATTGCCAAATAGAGATTTCTGCTATAACTGCCTAGTTGATATTTAAGCATCGGTCACAGCCATTTGGATTGGATTAATATGATAAGTATCGCAAGGCAGACAATTAACGATGTGTCAAAAAACTTAAAAATGTAATCATTAGAAGCTATCTGACCACGTTATCACGAATTAGCTGTGCTTTTATGGAGACCTAGTTTGACGCATCTTGTCCGAATACCTCTGCCATAATATGTACCATAATTATCAGCGTGAACTTGGTACCTTCCCAGACGTTGCCAGCGAAACGTTGCATCCTCTAGGCCAGAGCATTTAAAATTTAGATTTGGATTTTTTAGTGAAATCCATTGTCTTTCGGACTCTTTAGCTGTTGCTGCATGAAATAGCATAAAACAAACTACGTATCATGTAAACAAGCTATTGAAATTGCTACTTTAGAGTATCTGGTTAGGTGAAAATTGCATTTTTGCTCATCTGTAAAGTCATCACTAAGGATTTAGCTTAATTGGGGCCTTCTAAACTAAAAATCATATAATCATCCCTTCATAATTTAGTTTTGCCTAGGTTTTCGAGACTAACAGTGAGTCAAATATATGAGTTATGTCCACCTAATTTCGATTAAAGTTATGAAGGATTGGTAATTGAATTTTCACACAATTATATGAGTAGACCCGAAGTTTTCATTTAATTTCCCATAGCTTTGATTTCCGAAAAAGAGTTCTTATCCAGGCTGGACTGCACTTGCGACCACACCTAGGTCAACACTCCCCGCGGGTGTCGAACCATGAACTACTCAAGACTAAAGATAAGTAGTGTCGTCGATTGCTATAAACTATATAAGTTTGATTCATCGACAATCCCACTAAAAGAATGTAATATAGGAAAATGCCTGGACTTCCTTGAAATTCACATCTTCCTTGTGACCCTTGGTATGCATGTAAATGTGGCGTAGTGGTTAATGTGTCGAGATTACACATTGCACTGTTATGGTTCGAGTTCTATTGAGGGTTTTGATAGGACCTTAAACGGAATAGGGTAAATAT